GCAATTAAATGGATCTGGAACGGCTTGGCAATCGCCTTTAGTAAATTCTTTGCATTCTTTATTTTAGCATACATCATTTACAAAATCCCAATTACAAAAATCTTGAATACAATCTAAGGGCGTTTTTAAGCTTTCACAGGAGCATTAATAAAATTCAGAAATGTTCAAAGTAGTGATTGACTACCCATTAACTAATAATAGAAATCCAATTAAATAGTAGTAGATCATAAAGTTATTTTTGGTTTGATTAAGAAAAATTATAACCAAAAATATTATATGAATAAAATATTAATAGTCTTAATGATAACAAATATTCTATTTGATTTTGGACTATAGAGAATCTAATATCCGATTATTTTCATTTTAATATAAACTGAGATTAGGAAAAATAATAGAAATTACAATTTTTTAATTTCAATTTGAAACATTTTCATATAAACTTCAAATTAACCTTTAAAATAGCTATGATTTATTACTTATATTAAAGAATATCCTTAATATAAGGAATAAGAGAGGGAAGGAATAATTTTAGGCAGCCATTGCAATTTAAAATGATAATTTAAATTATTTATTTGAATTGAAATTTCCGTTTACTCATTCAATAATCGAGTTTATTTTAATCAATTATTAATGATTATTAAAGGTAAAAAATAAAATTCAATTAAAATCTATCAATCTGCTACAAAAAAAATTAAATACATATTATACTTCACTCATAAATGATACTTCCTAACTTGTATCTCTTTTTATTTTTCATCCCAAGTAATTAAATATTCACCATCATTACTTAATGTACCATACAGCCTTTTGCAATTAAAATCAATAGAAAAATCCAGGGTTAATTCTGAATTAGGATTAACACTTATAAAATTCAAATTTGATCCATTTTTACTTACTAACAACTATTTTTATTTAATGAATTATTAAGGAAATAGAGATTCACAATCCTCCCCATTTAAAACTTACACTTCTTTGGTCTTAGTGTATTATCCATTATTCAAAACATATATATCTAACTTATTAAGATTTCTTGGTTAGAAACAAAATGCACCATTATTTATGAAACATATTCTCAATCCAAAGTCGTCATTCGTAATTGTTTGACAAACACTCCAAATATCATTTTCCAATTTAATCACCAATATTTTATTATCCCTCCCTGTTGAAACTAATATATTTGAAGATTCATTTAGACTTAAGCCATAAACAGTATTGGTATGATCTTTAATAACTTGTTTACGCATCCATTATTTATCTAGTCCCCAGAATATAATAGTATTATCTGCACTTCCAGATATTATAAGATCTTCTTTTCTTGAGTATATCAGACAAAATATACTACTTGTATGCAAATCTAAATTTTATTAGCAGGTCCATTAAAGAGTTCTGGTTTTTCTTTCCCAAATTTTAATAGATTAATCATAACTCCCAGAAAGAAAAGAATTAGATTTTTTAAAAAAAGTTAAACAATAAACATCGCCTGTATGTTAATTATGGATTGTTTGAATAATTATTAATTATCCATTATTCAATTAGAATATCAATATTCTCTTCCTACATGCAGCAATTACTAGTGAGGAATCTTTATTAATTGAAAGTGCATAACAAATCTCAACTTGTTTAATTGAGCATTATTACAATAGCTAATATTTAACAACCTTTTTTTATTCTTAACTTTGAATTACTTATTATTGTCTTACTTATTATGTTAGTACTTATTATTTTAGTACTGATTATGTTTCTCTCCTACTAATTTCAGCTTTCTCTTCATTTTTGTTAATTATTTCTTATTCCAATATTTAACCACCAGATTTCAATTTTCTTAAAATACCTTAACAATTTTAGATGAAACAATTCAAATTAATAATCTAAATTTCCTCCAAGCTTTTCAAGTCCTCTTTTAATTAATCATCGAATTATTCTATATAATTTGGTTAACTAAGTATGTTTACAATTATGGTCATCCCTTCGAAGTTTTCAGCTGACCATGTTTCTTAAGTTTTTTTTTTTTTTTATTTAATATACTATAAGTAGTTGTTGAATTCCTCGTTCTACTCTCTTTTGTACTTTTAAATTAATTATGAGATTGTATTTTCTAAATCTTCTAGTGATTTATTTTAGGCTTCTTATTATTGAATAATCTATTCAATTTTCATATCAAAGTTATTTACTAGATTTTAATAGTATATTGACTTTAACTCAAGAACTCTTTCAATTCTTATAAATTTGATTTAATGTTGTTCCACACAGGACAAGCAAACCAATCTATTTTGTACTGTACTCTTCTCATTTAAGTCTGCCATAACAATGCTGCTTCTATGTGTTTGACATTATAAATTGTAAATATCTTTTTTTTCAAAATTCGATTAGTCTAACTTTGGCTGTACGATATTTTAATCCTAACTTAATTTATTTATTTTTTCTTGTAATTTGTTCAAGAATTATTATGAGTTTAGTTTACTAAGGTTGGTCTAGAGACTCTTTTTTATTTCTGAAAGGTTAGGAGTATCCTTTAATAGTTCTTTACATGAACTACTAAATAATTGAGAGTCAGCCACAGAAAGTTTCTTTATTGTATTCGAAAACTTGGTCATTTAGGTTTTGAATAACCCCCCGTATTGATCAATAGAATCTATGTATTTGTTAAACGAAATCTTAAATTATTATTCAAAAAATAAAAGGTCTTATTTTATCTCTTCTAAAATTGACATGCTGTTTTAGTATTCTAGCTCTTTTTCCTCCTAGATTTCAGTTTTTTGTCTCCTTAATTCTTATTGCCTGTCCTCTATTAATTTCAAATTATTGTCCATTTGAACTATGCAGATTTTACAAAGATTTCTTGAGTTTGATTTTGGATCAGGTTAATTTGGTCTCTAGAATATAATTGACTCATTGTGAATTGGACATCTCAATCTCTCCATTGAAATATTATTTAAAATAAAATATAAAATTCCTATAATTTAAAAACATTTCTATTGCAATTACTTATACCTTTTCTTTCATATTGAATTACGAACCAAAATATTGAGCATCAACTAAAATAATTGAATTTATAGAATTTTATTTGAATGAAAGAAAATAATTTAAAATTTTTCTAATTAATAGCCCAAAATGAATGAATTTAGGTTATATTGTTTATAATCATCATCTACAAACATAAATTTCAATTTATTTAATATATTTTAAATGATTTAGTTTCTAAACTCCAAATCACTAAATAATTGCCATCATTGGTGATTGTTCCATAATTAAATCTTGAATGAATATTAATTGGATCTCCATACATTCTTAAAGTGTTTCCCTAATCACACTTTAGAATATATACAAAATTTTCATGCTTTTGAATTAATATATTTTTTTTGTTATTGAATATAGATGGAAACAGTTTAGTTCCATCTTATACTCGTTCTGATTGCAAAATCACTTTAAGTTCAGGAGCTTCAATCAATCCTCCATTGTTAATCTTATAAATATATAGAATTCCTTAGTTATCTGATTAATAAGTAAAAGTGGTATTTGAGATGAAGCAAACTCTGTTCCCACAATCTTTCTAAATTCTATCAATTGTACACTAATAGGACCAATCGTTAGGAGATTACTTTGACCAAAGAATAATTTTATTATCTAAAGCATTTGAGATTAGAAAGGTGGAATCCTCATTAACACAAATGAATTTAACAGTCGATCGGTGCATCTCTAATGATTATTTGAATGATATAGTGTTTTGTTCAATGTTAAGGTTCCATATCTTGATTTTTGAATTTTGAGTTGATATAATTTGATCTTCAGCTGGTGTTAAGATTAAGTACTATATATCTCCTATACCTGATTATAGCACTTAATTCTTTTGCCATGTATTTACATTAACTTGATTCCAACATATAATCTTTTGATCCAACCCCCCTGAGACTAACCAATTACACCTTTTGCTGAACGTCAAACATTAAACAAAATCACTATGTCCTTCTAATAAAATCCCAGAATCAATTAATTTCTTGTCTTAAAAATCCCATATTTTGATGTTCTCTCCACATCCAGCTGCCATAATTGAATCCGAATAATTAAATGCAATGGCCCAACAAGATTGCTATTGGTTGATTTCTGAAACCTACATCCAAAAATCATTCTATTTTTTATAATTATTAATTTATGTTGAAATTTGGTTGAACATTTCATCAAACTCACTTTATACACTCCAATCTTTTATTGTTGATTACAATGTCTAGCTTACTTTGTTGATTTTTTATAAATAAGAACGATTTATTTGTTAAATCTTATTAGAATCGCTTAGAAACTATTCTTATAAAATGGAATCAGGAGATTCATCGAGAAATTAGAGTTCTTTGGATAAATCTTAACTATTATATTATTCTACTAATTGATCCAATTCCTCTTAAAATAAATCGTATTTTTATTTTAAGGAGGTAAATTACTCATAGACTTTAGATTGTAGACAATCAGTTTTTTCTTTCAGTTTTGCTAGCATCTCTTTCACTACATTAACTAAATTATAGATCTATTATTATTATTAGCTCTTTAAATCTTCCACCATCTCACTTGCTTCTAAAACTGACATTACATGGAGAATCCCCCTCGAATTCTAAATGCATTCTTAGCACATCAATCTTTCTCTTCCTTGGCATTCCTTTTTAATATTCACTTGTATGATCTGATTTCCAGAATGCTGATTGCAGAAAGAATTAGACATACAAACATTANTTACATTATCATATTCAAATTGATGATACAATCCGTTTTCATATTAGATAAAATTTATAAAGTAAAATTCAATTTAACATCTTCCTCCAGGTTTCTAGGCTTGACCAGGCTTTTTGGGCTTCATCCTTAAATCTCACTTTCTTTCCCCTTACCATTTCTTGATCTATCTAGATATCATTATATCCAAACTTACTGAGTATTTATGAAGGATATATAAAAACTTAACTGTAAAAAATTTTTGATTTTTTATGTTAGTATTAATACGAATTTCAATTTTTTGCTTCTGAATTTATGTTTTGAAAAAATTACATTGGATCTTCTTCTAATAACTATTAGGCTTAATAATCTTATTGTAGAAAAGAGAAGTTGCAATAGATATTTTGAAAGTGATGATGATGATGATGAGAACTAATTGTGATTAAAATAAGATAACTCTTGCAAAATGAAATAGAATACAGGATAAATTTTTCACTTTGTTACAACCCTGCATATTGCAGAGTTCCGTATTGTCAGAGTAGAGATGATATATAACGCTAGAATTTATTTTTAATACTTGAATCTTGTTGTAACCTTCAAAGCACTAAGTATATGTGCTTAATATAATTAAATGTCAATTAAATCTATTGAATGATCGAAAGTGCTGACAAAAATAGATAAAGATTTAAGATAGCCTAAATGATAGGTATTCATTTTTTTAGATGAAATCAGCCAACATTCTATAATTTCTGTTAAGCAAATACTAAAAAATAGGTGTATTCGAACAATCTTAGAAGTTAAGAGAAGCGATGGTTGCGTAAGCTATTAGATTGTAAATTATTTAAAAAATGAGAAGAGATAAATCTACAAATATGAAATTCATGTCAAAATTAATTATTAATTTTAGATTAAGGATATCGTATTTAAAGACATTGAAACAAGCATTTAAATAGACTGAAAAATTAAGAATCATATATGGTATAATCATAAGATACCACAATTAATTAAAATATATTTAAATCCACGTTTTTTAGATAACTAAAGTAGAAATCTTCCTCAAAAATCTTCACACTTTTAATAATATTGATGCAGAGGAAATAATATTCAGAATGTCAACCCTAACATTATTAATGAAAGAGGAATACATTTTCAATTGATCTTCAAACATCAGATTTATGAGTAGAACAATTTTATTGATTTGTGAACTGAATATGTTTTAACTCGTAAATTGAAAAGTCTCATTGAAATGTAATGGTGGATGCGAAAAAATTATGTACTATCAAGTCAAAGGTTCAATAAGTTCTTAAAAAGTGAGAAGAGGAGGACGATATTTTAATTGCACTTTGGAACTATAAAATTGAGCATAGACATTACCTTGATTTAGCTTCAATTAACATATCATGGTAAATTTGAATCATTTTTTACAAATAAAAGAACAAGGAGTATTAAATCGGTAAATAAAGAAATTATATAGTCTTTCAAGTTCTTGAAATGCAATTTATAAGGATTTTGAAAGAGAGTCTATATTAATTATTTGCTTTAAATATGGTAAAGGATTGATTGCAGCCTATTTATTAGGTAGAGACTTATTTAATTTTTTATCATAGTGCATATATAGGATTTAATCATCAAGAGATTTTAGTGAATAAGATCCTCAATCAAGGGAAATTCCAGTAAGATTTAACATTAAATATAGATAAGGTAATTTGACAAGATTATTGACAACATTGTTAAAATCTTTCATATAACACATTAATAGTATGCGATTTAAGTTCTCTTATTGAATCTGAAGATTGGATTTAGTAGTTTAAAGAGATGTTGTACTTTAAAACTCAACTTGGCATATGTTCTGTAATAAGAATGATATTAATCATATGAACGAGATAAAATTTATTTTCACACTCAAAAATTGGGAGAAGGATTCAATTATTAATATTTTAGATTTAAAGAATATAGTTTATTATATAATAAGCAAAATTACAAGTTATTGTAATCTCAAATATTTAATTTGAAGCCTATATTGCCAAAAAAATTCGATATTTGAATAAAGAATTTGCGATTAACTAGAGTATATGATTAGATAGCAGGCAGAGTTAATGACTGCCCTATAAAAATTTTCAGTAAGGAGGTAGCTTAAAATAATTTATATTAAATGCCAATTAATGAAAATATAAAAAAAANTTCTTAAAAAGTGAGAAGAGGAGGACGATATTTTAATTGCACTTTGGAACTATAAAATTGAGCATAGACATTACCTTGATTTAGCTTCAATTAACATATCATGGTAAATTTGAATCATTTTTTACAAATAAAAGAACAAGGAGTATTAAATCGGTAAATAAAGAAATTATATAGTCTTTCAAGTTCTTGAAATGCAATTTATAAGGATTTTGAAAGAGAGTCTATATTAATTATTTGCTTTAAATATGGTAAAGGATTGATTGCAGCCTATTTATTAGGTAGAGACTTATTTAATTTTTTATCATAGTGCATATATAGGATTTAATCATCAAGAGATTTTAGTGAATAAGATCCTCAATCAAGGGAAATTCCAGTAAGATTTAACATTAAATATAGATAAGGTAATTTGACAAGATTATTGACAACATTGTTAAAATCTTTCATATAACACATTAATAGTATGCGATTTAAGTTCTCTTATTGAATCTGAAGATTGGATTTAGTAGTTTAAAGAGATGTTGTACTTTAAAACTCAACTTGGCATATGTTCTGTAATAAGAATGATATTAATCATATGAACGAGATAAAATTTATTTTCACACTCAAAAATTGGGAGAAGGATTCAATTATTAATATTTTAGATTTAAAGAATATAGTTTATTATATAATAAGCAAAATTACAAGTTATTGTAATCTCAAATATTTAATTTGAAGCCTATATTGCCAAAAAAATTCGATATTTGAATAAAGAATTTGCGATTAACTAAAGTATATGATTAGATAGCAGGCAGAGTTAATGACTGCCCTATAAAAATTTTCAGTAAGGAGGTAGCTTAAAATAATTTATATTAAATGCCAATTAATGAAAATATAAAAAAAATATTAGTAAGGAATTCAAAACTTAAGTTACCAGGTTGTAAATTGCGTTAAAAGAACAAAGTAGATTACAAAAACTAGAATAGCCTTATTCAAAATTTTAATTGTCAATACTCAAATAAAACAAAATTAGGTTATCTTATTTGCAAAGACTTAATCCTTATTCACTTTAGTTTATGGTGTAGCTTGTAATATTTCAGATTCTTAGAATAAATATTTTTAGTAAAAATTATGAAATAAACCAAGTTATTTGATTTGAACTTCAACTAAATTAGAGGTAATAAGAAACTTATAAATAATTTTAGCATTTAATAAATCATCAGTATTCATGACTTAAAGGTTCACCCATTGAAACACGATCTAAAAGTAGACTTACTCAAGTATCAAGCCATATAATAATACCATTCTTTACTCTGATCAAGCATTAACTATATTGTATGTTGGTTTAACTTTCTAAGTCTACGATTTTCTATACTAGTTCAACATTGATAATAAGAGAATTTAATTTTCATATTAGTAGTAACATCTTCCTTATTGTTTTCTAACATTAACAAGTATTTTTATTCCACGATCAGGTAAGTAAAGCAATTTAATCATACTGTAGACTTATAATTTACTCTTTACACAATGTGTTACTACTTTCATATGTTAAATTCAATCTAAATACTATTAAGCCAACCATATATTCTATTTAATCTATTCCTGGTTTTCCGGAAAGCCTCGACATTTAGACATCTATTGGTTCTTTTCTATCTTACAACCTGCATTCCAACAATTATAAAATAGTTTTAAACACAACCTAAATGCCTTCTCAAATATAACGAATGCTATTTCGTTATCATTTGATTTTATTGATATTTGTAAGAGCTGCTTTTCCTAAATAGAAGTTTAAGTTGGAGAGATTGAAGTAAATGTTCATCATAGTAATTTTAAAAGAATTTTTGAAAAGGTTTTAGTTCTCTTAAGTTGAGAATTCTACTCAATAAAATCAAATGAACTGTAAATCTTGTTTCAAATCTCAATTTATTCTAGATTATCATCTATGAAATTTATGAATGTAAATTATACTTAAGAATATTATTTTTTTGCCTTCTATTGTTCTACACAATTGATTTTTTCCTGCCAAAAGTGTTGGCATTTCTGAAATAGTACAATTGAAGCAAATGAAAATTGACTAATCCTAATGTCCCTATTGATCTTATCTGGTTGTTCTAATAAAACTTTTTTTAATGGCAAAAATTTGTTAAAATGAAGTTTTTTAGAAAAGCAAGTATCAATATCAAAGCCACAGATTTGAGTTTCTTGATCTCGTATATTCTACTTTGGTAGCCTTTATTCTCCAAATCGTTATCCTCTCCAGTAATCTAGGCTCAGCAAGATTTCAAAGTTTTCCATAACCTAATCTTTAAATTTCAACTTTTTCTTAATTTTCCCTTTGTTTGTTCTATTTCTTCAAAGAATATTTTTTTAAGTCCTCTAAATATTCATCAATCTAAACGCTTAAAGCTGGTTGAAAATTGATTTCAGCTTTAAATTTACAGAGTTTATATTAATTTAAAGGCATGCTTTAAATAGATAAATTTTATTTTGTGAATACCTTAATTTCTATGAAGCAAGTTTACTTTTATGCTTATTTAAAGTTAAGAAATACTAAATATTAATAATTCAAAAATACTATCTAGAACAGAAACTTCAGATATCTAAAACAATATAGATGAAAAAGTTTATTGTTTTTAATTTATATTGGAATGGTAATATACCATTTTCTAATATAAATGTTCATAAAATGGGTAATTTAGTTGTTAAACCATATTTAAACTCTTTCAATTTGTTTACAAATATTAAGAAGCCGGTTATTGATGGATAAAAACATTAGAAAGGAGACGATTAAAAGATAAGTAGGAGAAAACTCTACTTAAATAGTTAGAACTATAGAAGATTCTTAATATATATAGTTTTAACCTTATTATTCCAAGCTGCATCATTATTAGGATTAATGGAAATAGCTTAGTGGCAACACTCATTTGCTTCTTCATTCTTATTTAAATTAAATAATGAATTGCCTAAACAATAATAATGTGTCACATTACTTACCCTTATTGTTCCATGCTAAATCCAATTTAGGATTTATGGAAATAGCTTTATCGTAACACTCAATTGCTTCCTCATACTTATTTAGATTATTTAATGAATTGCCTAAACAATAATAATGTGTCACATTACTTACCCTTATTGTTCCATGCTAAATCCAATTTAGGATTTATGGAAATAGCTTTATCGTAACACTCAATTGCTTCCTCATACTTATTTAGATTATTTAATGAATTGCCTAAACAATAATAATGTGTCACATTACTTACCCTTATTGTTCCATGCTAAATCCAATTTAGGATTTATGGAAATAGCTTTATCGTAACACTCAATTGCTTCCTAATATTTATATAGATCATCTAATGAATTGCCTAAACAAAAATAATGTGTCACATTACTTACCCTTATTGTTCCATGCTAAATCCAATTTAGGATTTATGGAAATAGCTTTATCGTAACACTCAATTGCTTCCTCATACTTATTTAGATTATTTAATGAATTGCCTAAACAATAATAATGTGTCACATTACTTACCCTTATTGTTCCATGCTAAATCCTATTTAGGATTTATGGAAATAGCTTTATCGTAACACTCAATTGCTTCCTAATATTTTTTTAGATTACTTAATGCCACTCCTATAATAAATCAAATTAATATACCTTGATTTAATAATCTTTGAGCATCTTCAAAATTCAACTAGTTTTTTTGATCTTCACTCTATTAATTAACTATAGTATCCTTTTGACAACCAGAATCTATTTATTCTTCCATTTTAGTTTAGTCTGCTAACATCTTCTTTAATGTATCAAGAATATTATTGAATTGTATTATTTGTTATTCTATTATTAATATATATGAATAAAAAAAGATACATTTGCAATTTTCTTTTTCCTTCGAATACAACTGTTTTATTATAAGTATTTATGATTTACAAGCCAAATACTCTTTGTTTTAAAGCTGTTGAGTCATATTTTCTAATGTACTAATTTCTTGATCCAAATGTTTTTAAATTTTTGCAACATTGTTCTATAATTGTATATAGACATCTTTGAATTATATCCTTAACTGATTATTAACTTGTATCAATTCTTTCATAAATTAGATCATTTTTGTGAATCTAATACAATCATTGAAATGTTGTGAATGTGGTGAATCTTTAGTATTTAAACATTCAAAACAATATTGAGTTGTATTTTAACAATCCCAATTCAAACAAAATCCAATAACTTCTTCATTTTCATGAGGAAGATATTTACACTTAAACAGATCCATTTAAGTATATAAAATTAAAATAAATAATTATTTAACATACCTAAATATCCATATATTTATAGCAAAAATCTCATTAAATACTATTTCAATAGACTAATATCATTCAATTTAATATCCTCATTAAATTCATTATTCAAATATTATTTAATTAAATTTTCCTTTATTTCCTACAATCTCTTTATCATTTTTAATTAGGTTGTTACTATATTGATCTTCTCATTTTTATTGTAAGCATATTCTTTAGAAAGTTTGAAAGATAACTTAATCTTTGTAAAAACTATATTTCACCCTAAATTATAGATTCACTAATGTCCTACTAATTAATATTATCTTAAAGATATAATTTAACTATATTTTCAAGATGTATTTACAATAAATTTTACATATAACCTTCCTATCAAACCAAAATTTTCCATAACCATAATCAATTGTTTTTTATATTGCTTAGAAGGATGTATGTGTAAACTTGATGAGATAGGTTATAAAAAATTAAAATATTCACTCATGATAATTTCTTTGCTAGATCCTCCAAATATGCTTTGGTAATTAATAGGAAGTGTTCATTTGTTGACATACCTCTTTCGAATTGCAGTATTGATCATCATGCGATATGCAATAAAATGATACAATATCACAAATATTAAAAAATAATTTATAAAGTGCTAGTTTTACCAGGTTATTTGAATATTAAATTCTTCTAAATATAACAGAAAGAAAATCCCAGCAATATTATTTATAAAGCAATTAGAATGGATGGCTGTCGAAGGTATTCATGTAATAGGCATTATAATGCAATTTTCCAATCAGCTGAATTTATCATATAATTTACTTCAATACCAATCAATCAAGAAAGTTTTTGGAATTATTATATCATAAAGTCAATTAGGCTGATTGATGATTTACATTTCATTCATATTTAAATCAATTGATTTTTTCATTGATGATTATTTAATGATCCAAAATATATATAAAATTTCTTTTATATTTACTCTATTGATTTTAAATCTCCTTACAATTCTTTGGTTTTACTTTTTAGCTTTGATGAATATATAAGGAAATATAAGTTCCATATATGTTCTTTGCTTAAAATGATGGCAACAGCATTTGCATTTCAAACTGTGATGAAATGAAAAGGGTAAATTTTTGTTTTATTATATTTTTATCAAAGATTTCAAAATTTAAAAATGAGAATGGAATTTTACATACAAATGAGAAAATCATAGAGGCTTATTCTTAATTCTAAATGCTGCAATGCATCCAAATATTGTTGAAAGTAAAATAATATCAGACCATTATCATGATTGCAATCACAGATGACAATTAAATATTAGGTTTGCCATCCAGAAACCTACAGCAACCATTAGGAAAACATTTGGACTACCTATTAGAAAAAGAAGATCCACTTTGAAAAAAGAATAAGAAATCAAAAATATGGAATAGAAATCAATGAAGTTAAATAAGAAAGGATAAATTTTATTTTGTTAATACCTTAATTTCTATGAAGCAAGTTTACTTTTATGCTTATTTAAAGTTAAGAAATACTAAATATTAATAATTCAAAAATACTATCTAGAACAGAAACTTCAGATATCTAAAACAATATAGATGAAAAAGTTTATTGTTTTTAATTTATATTGGAATGGTAATATACCATTTTCTAATATAAATGTTCATAAAATGGGTAATTTAGTTGTTAAACCATATTTAAACTCTTTCAATTTGTTTACAAATATTAAGAAGCCGGTTATTGATGGATAAAAACATTAGAAAGGAGACGATTAAAAGATAAGTAGGAGAAAACTCTACTTAAATAGTTAGAACTATAGAAGATTCTTAATATATATAGTTTTAACCTTATTATTCCAAGCTGCATCATTATTAGGATTAATGGAAATAGCTTAGTGGCAACACTCATTTGCTTCTTCATTCTTATTTAAATTAAATAATGAATTGCCTAAACAATAATAATGTGTCACATTAGTTACCTTTATTGCTCCATGCTGAATCATATTTAGGATTAATGGAAATAGCTTTGTCGTAACACTCAATTGCTTCTTCCTTCTTATTTAAATAAAATAATGCTAAGCCTAAACAATAATAATGTCTCACATTAGTTACCCTTATTATACCATGCCAAATCATATTTAGGATTAATGGAAATAGCTTTGTCGTAACACTCAATTGCTTCCTCGTACTTATTTAATTATCTTAATGCCAATCCTATTATACATCAAATTAATATACCTTCATTTAATAATCTCTCAGCCTCTTCAAAATTCAACTAGTTTTCTTGATCTCCACTCTATTAATCGATTTTAGTATCCATTTGACGACCAAAATCTATTTATTCTTCCACTTTAATTTAGTCTGCTAACATTTTCTTTAAAGTATCAAGAATATTATTGAATTGTATTATTTGTTATTCTATTATTAATATATATGAATAAAAAAAGATACATTTGCAATTTTCTTTTTCCTTCGAATACAACTCTTTTATTATAAGTATTTATGATTTCAAAGCCAAATACTCTTTGTTTTAAAGCTGTTGAGTCATATTTTCTAATATACTAATTTCTTGATCCAATTGTTTTAAATCTTTGCAACATTGTTCTATAATTGTATATAGACATCTTTGAATTATATCCTTAACTGATTATTAACTTGTATCAAATCTCTCATAAATTAGATCATTTTTGTGAATCTAATACAATCATTGAAATGTTGTGAATGTGATGAATCCTTAGTATTTAAACAATCAAAACAATATTGAGTTGTATTTTAACAATCCCAATTCAAACAAAATCCAATAACTTCTTCATTTTCATGAGGAAGATATTTACACTTAAACAGATCCATTTAAGTATATAAAATTAAAATAAATAATTATTTAACATACCTAAATATCCATATATTTATAGCAAAAATCTCATTAAATACTATTTCAATAGACTAATATCATTCAATTTAATATCCTCATTAAATTCATTATTCAAATATTATTTAATTAAATTTTCCTTTATTTCCTACAATCTCTTTATCATTTTTAATTAGGTTGTTACTATATTGATCTTCTCATTTTTATTGTAAGCATATTCTTTAGAAAGTTTGAAAGATAACTTAATCTTTGTAAAAACTATATTTCACCCTAAATTATAGATTCACTAATGTCCTACTAATTAATATTATCTTAAAGATATAATTTAACTATATTTTCAAGATGTATTTACAATAAATTTTACATATAACCTTCCTATCAAACCAAAATTTTCCATAACCATAATCAATTGTTTTTTATATTGCTTAGAAGGATGTATGTGTAAACTTGATGAGATAGGTTATAAAAAATTAAAATATTCACTCATGATAATTTCTTTGCTAGATCCTCCAAATATGCTTTGGTAATTAATAGGAAGTGTTCATTTGTTGACATACCTCTTTCGAATTGCAGTATTGATCATCATGCGATATGCAATAAAATGATACAATATCACAAATATTAAAAAATAATTTATAAAGTGCTAGTTTTACCAGGTTATTTGAATATTAAATTCTTCTAAATATAACAGAAAGAAAATCCCAGCAATATTATTTATAAAGCAATTAGAATGGATGGCTGTCGAAGGTATTCATGTAATAGGCATTATAATGCAATTTTCCAATCAGCTGAATTTATCATATAATTTACTTCAATACCAATCAATCAAGAAAGTTTTTGGAATTATTATATCATAAAGTCAATTAGGCTGATTGATGATTTACATTTCATTCATATTTAAATCAATTGATTTTTTCATTGATGATTATTTAATGATCCAAAATATATATAAAATTTCTTTTATATTTACTCTATTGATTTTAAATCTCCTTACAATTCTTTGGTTTTACTTTTTAGCTTTGATGAATATATAAGGAAATATAAGTTC